ATAGTTTAGACATTTCTAAACGCGTTGGACGCCAACCATGATCTGACGAGTCTATGGAAGATCGGTTGGTTAATTTTGTTTAGCGGCATATCAACACCTCTATGGGTTATTTAATGCTGTCATCTAAATATTTTGAACAGAAATGTATGCCTTCAATTTCAGATAAAATGTGTTAGTAATTCTACTATAAGATATATTGTTGGTAATTTTACTCTCAATGGGTGTTGTTGGTATTTTGTATATAAAATATATTGCGGGTATTTTTAATATAAAAATGTATTTTTATACTTTCATGGTGTTTTGTTTTGGGGGTCCACTATTTGTCCATAGCTGGAATCATAGCGTGTACTAACACCTTGAACTTGTGAACAACAGCAATTAAGGTGTGGTTCCACGCTTCTCAAAACTCCAATCTCCCGATCAGAGGCCTTGCTACGGGATATAGTTTATCGTCATACCCAGGACTGAAATAAAAAGGGTGCGTACACTTGGAATCATAAAGAGAGAGCTGAAATTTCTAGGACACATAATGAGGAAAGAATGCATGTTTCATCGGACACCCACATGAACTATTGGCACAGAATCATAACGAACTGGACCAGATAACAGACAAATCACTTGAGGACTTTCAACAGCTGCGATAGCTAAAACGAACGGCACTCGGAGAAAATAATGACTTAATCAAGACGCTGACGTTTCCTTCTACACCGGACAAAGGGTTAGAAAGGAAGACCTCATCAATAATGGAAAGAGCAATAACAGTTAGCGGATGTAAGAAATCTATTTTAGAAAAAAAATGTTTAATTATTTCACCCCAAGCAAGGCGGGAATACCACTAGTACGCAATGGGGTTACATGGAATGAAAATGAAAGTGAAAGTGAAAGAGGAAGAGAAGACTGAAAATAGTAAGGATTGAATGAAGGACAAAAGTGGAACCGGATACTAGAAGACAGATAATGGCTATTGACACTGCATTTACATTTTAGAAGATTATACTTATCAAAGAATCAAGGAAACGGAAGAGAGCTCCACAGTTTGACGTGCGGCAAAAAAAAAAAAACTTTTAGAGTAGAAGTGGCGGTTGCATTAAGATATTTGAACAATAAAAGAATGGGATTTAGATGCCAATCTAGTAGTACACTTAAATTCATATATTTGGGCAACAGAGGAAAAACTTGTCAGATCAGTTGCTATGAAAATATTTATAGAAATGACAGATTGAAGCCACGTCAGGACGGTGAGAAAGTGACTGAAGTCGAGATGTCAGGTCAAGATCGATTACATTACAGATCCTTCTTTGGATTCTGTCAAGAATCTTGAGATATTTTTGAGAAAGGTTTTATGAATTTCAATCGACAGTAGCATTGGCTGCTCGCTCATAAAGAAACAAGTAATATTGCCGTCATCATTCCTCAAAGTTACGATGTCGACAGAAAGTTCGAACACCACTCACCAATAATTCGTTCCGAGTCTCTAACCATGATACCAACTGTGGCAGGTGCTTTCAACACTACCGATGTATCTATCTATCTATCTCAGTCGATATCTATCTATCTATCTATCTATCTATCTATCTATCTATCTATCTATCTATCTATCTATCTCAGTCTGTTCATCTATTATCTATCTATCTATCTCAATCTATCTATCTATCTATCTATCTATCTCAATCTATCTATCTCAGTATGTTCATATTCATCTATCTATCTCAATCTGTTCATATCTATCTATCTATCTATTCATCTATCTATCTATCTCAATCTGTTCATATCTATCTATCTCAGTCTGTTCATCTATCTATCTATCTATCTATCTCAGTCTGTTCTATCTCAGTCTGTTCATATCTATTTATCTATCTATCTTGTAACTGAAATTTATATACATATTCTGAAAGTGATATTTCCAGCAGCTTTTCTATACGTTTCGTGCATGGATCTTAAATTTTTTTTTTTTTTTTACTTTTAAAGTGAAAATGGTGGAAAACGAGATTAAGTTTCATCATTTGATTCCCTTTTATTTCCGGGGACTTACGGCTTCTCTTTCGGTCGCCGAAGTTGAGCAATAAAATTGTTACAGGTCCTATCTTCGTAACCAGGTCTGAAGTTGAGCAGCGCTTAAGAATACCGGGCACTTTAAGCTTGGATGTGCGAGTGGTATAATTGAACAACGCCTTCGAAGGAGAAATCCAAGAGCTGAGTTGGAATTCCAGTCTGGACCGCCACATTGACTTACGCACAAATCCACCCCTCTTCTAATTCCAGATATGGGTTAAATAGTAAGTCTTGTACCTGAAAATCATTATTATCCCCCAACAATTATTAATTTCATATTCACTCACAAAAAATATTATTACACTCAAAAAAATCGTAATAGTAAATTCAGCATTGCTAACAAAGTTAATCTGGACGTTGGTCTCGAAAACGACATCAAATCTGTGGTTGACTGGGGCAGGAAATGGCTTGTGAATTTTAATGCCACCAAATCGAAACTGCTGTCATTTACTTACCATAGAGAAACTTCCCTGCTTCCTATCAGCATGGTTGATGCCCAACTCCATGAGAGTGCTTCACTACTCCTTCTTGGTCTCATGTTCTCCACTGACCTGAGGTGGAACAACTATATTGAATCAATTGCTGCATCTACTGCAAGGAAAGTTGATTTTCTGTGTCACGCCAGAAGGTTTTTCTCGTCTGAGTTCATCCTTCACATCTACAAATCTACCATTCGTCCATGCATGGAATACTGTTGCCATATATGGTCTGGTGCCCACACCTCCGCTTTTCATCTCGAGGTTTTCGACAAAATCCAAAGACGGATATGTGATCGGTTCCGACTTGGGTTCACGATTACAGTCACTTTCTCGACCGCATAATGTGGCTTCCCTCTGCCTTTTCTATAAATATTTATTGACGAATATTGAACATTGATTGAATATTGACGAGTTATTTTCACTGGTGCCAGGACCCGTTGAATTTAAGCGTGCAACTAAGTTGGCATCTCGTACCACCCTTTTACTGTCGAAACAGTTAAATGTAACCACCTCTACTACTCCAACAGCTTCTCCTCCTGCACTTCCAGACAGTGGAACTCCTTTCCGCTTACTTGATTCCCTGATGGCGATAATCTTCAAAAATTTAAATGTAATGTCAAACGAAATCTTCTGTTGTCTTGATCCCCGTAATTTTTTCCTCCTCCATTTTTTTTATCCCATCCTCACCCCCTATACCCAGCCATTTCCCTTACTTACACGCTCTGTAGACCCTTGCGTACTAGTGGTTGAGAGGGGTGAATTGCTTAAAAAACCCCACAAAACGTTGATTTATTGTAATAAATTAAACAGCCAATCAATTTCCAGAAATTAAAAAAAAAAAAACAAGTATAAACAAAAATATATTTTAATAGTAAGGTTTACCCAGCACAAGACCCTGGAGCCACTTGAGGTAGAGGGTTACGTTAGGAGGCAATTTGCGCGATTAGGAAGGGAAGATTATCTGTTAACCCTAGACATGAACTGGTTAAGATTGTAGGGATAATGGAAACATCCTCTTAGGAGTCCGTTCAACAGAACAGTGGTTTGCAGGAAGAAGCTATTCGAGTAGAAATTATTTTTCACTGATTGAATATGGAGGGAATGTGTGTGATTTGTTACTATGTAAGTGGCATGGCGCGTCCTTACCGTGTAATTCGTCCGAGCACTTTCCGTGTAAATAGCGATAGAGTAGCGAGATGCTTGTCACAACCCGCCTGTGGGAGAGAGTTTGGAGGATGGAGAATAATTTGTCACCCACAAGAGCTCGGAGGCGCTTTTGGACTCTGTCAAGACTGGAGAGTGAGGTTTAGGAAGCTCCCGCCCAAATATAACAAGAGTATTCCATTTCTGGCTTTATCTGGCTATTGTAAAGGTAGAGAATAGCACGTGGAGTCAGGTACTTACTGGAGCGGTACAGGGAGTTGGCCACTTTACCTGCATTTATTAGCAATGCATTGTACGTATGAGTATGAATCATTTACGGAGATGATCTCTTCGTCATTACATAAATCTCACGTTATGGTACAGGACGACTCATCATTGCCACCTCAATGCCGCCGACTTAACACCGGCCAATTCATATCCGTGACAACTCAACTCCAGGGCGACTTAGTACCCGACTACTCAGCGCGAGGACAACTTACCACTAGCCTACTCATCACGGTGACAACTCAACGACATGCAAACTATGACATTTTTTAAAAACAAATAAAAGCAATTTATTAAGGATCATTTTTAATACATGACTTTATTCTTAATTTTAAAATTTCTTGAAAACTGTATGCAATTTCCCTCAAATATTCAGTGGGCGATCGTTGTGAAAAAGAAAAATCAATCTGCGAAATTGTTTCATCCACCTTCACAGACTTCTTCAATTTAGTGGGAGAGGGATGACCTCCAATTAATTTCCTCAAAAATGCATTGCAGTTTCTTTGCACCTTTTGCAGCCCTGTAAATAATCTTCAAACTCTGTCTTCTATTTGCTGCTTCAGTCTGATTATTTGCAGCTATTCTGAAGCTAAGAATTCGGTGCCAGCGGTGAGTTGTCCTCACGCCAATTAGGTTTCTGGTGAGTTGTCCTGGATTTGAGTTGATCGGTGTTGAGTCGGCAGTGTCGAGTCGGCGGTGATGAAATGTCCCATCTCGCCACTTTACCCACGCTATATTTTTGTACTCAAAGAATATTCAGAATTGTTTTTACTGATATTCAGGGTTGATACGTTTTCCTTTATATGGAATCGTCACTCATCTTTTCGTTTCGGACTTTGTTTTTTGCCATATATTCTCTTAATTTTTACTTAACTTTCATCGCTCTATGGGCAATTATTGTAGCAAGATAATGATGCATTATAAGTTAACTGTTACAAATTCTTCTGAGGCTTTAAAATGAATGTCTAGACATGTTTCTGCTCATAAGGTTTAAAATAAATTGAAAGTAAAATTTCACAATTTACTTATTCCGACAACTTCATGAATTATATCCATGCTCTGGTTCTTTCTTGTTCTTTTTTTTTGTTTCTTTACTTTTTTTACTTTTCCTTTTCTCTTCTTTCTTTCTTTCTTTCTTTCTTACTTTTTACAATTTTCTTTCTCTCTTTCGTTTCTTTCATTTTTCTTTCTTTCTTTCTTTCTTTACACTTTTCTTTCTTTTTTTCTTTATTTACCGTTTTCTTCTTCGTTACTCTTTTCCTTTCTTTCTTTATTTCTTTCTTTCTTTCTTTCTTTCTTTCTTTCTTTCTTTCTTTCTGCTTAACATTTCTTTTCTTTCTTTCGTTTCTCTTTTCTCCTTACCTTTTTTTTCTTTCTTTCTTTCTTTCTTTCTTTCTTTCTTTCTTTCTTTCTTTCTTTCTTTACACTTTTCTTTTTCTTTCCTTCTTTTTTCTTTACTTACCGTTCTCTTCTTCGTCACTTTTCTTTCTTTCTTTCTTTCTTTCTTTCTTTCTTTCTTTCTTTCTTTCTTTCTTTGCCGTTTTATTAATTTATTTATTTTATCAAAATCTTTCTTCATCTATTACTTTTACATCTTCAGAATTATTCGCGACATCTTCGAAAACTTTATCTCGTATTCACCTGCAGCTGCTGCTTCAACTGCGAGGAGGATCCAAAGCGACCAGTGGGTCGACCCGTGGCACGGTGAAAATTCGACAGTATAGAGAGGTTAAAAAAAAAATGTTGAAAAGCGGGACACAGATCGTAAGGCGCGAGTTTCATCACGGGTTGGTTTAACTGATCGAGTTGAAGACTTGTCGCGCGAACAACCCTACTTGATGGATGAACGGATGAGAGGAGGGACCAACTTACATTCCCTTCGCTGACATCCTCAGCATATTACAGTCGAGCTGTTAAAATACCGCCGAGCGAAGAAAAGACAAAGATGAAAATTGAGAAACATTTTTAACAATCTATACTATATGCATAAATGTCTCATTTATATATATATATATATATATATATATATATATATATATATATATATATGAATGAAAAGATTACTTAATTTTAAATATCAATTTTATTCTAGCTTCGAAGTTTCTTGTCTTAATTTCCAGTCTCCTGGTTTTAAACGATATTTAGATATCTTTTAAAACCATAAGAAAGTTCCTCACGGGTTCACGTACGATTTTATTTTTAAGTATTTTTTCACGGCTATTTGGACTGTCGTAGCTGAAACTCCTTTCTCGCGTGCCAAAGTTCTTATGAATTCAGTTAGATCTTTTCTAATTGATCTACTTTGATTTAAGTTGAAACAATGATCCCTCTTCCTGTTGTGACATTCTCATAAAGTTTTCCTCTCTACTGTTCCCTTTCTTTTTTAAAGTTACTTTTCACTCTCACCATTACTCAGTTGGAAACACAGTGTGGTTGACACAAAACGATTTTGGCCTCTTTTCTTTCTAACTGAATAACTCAAAGGGATTTTCCGTGATTCTTACAATAAACGGTGTCAAGATGTCTAAACGTCTTATCTGAAAACCTGGAAAAATAGAAACTCAATTAGTTTAGTGGTTTTTATATTTTTTTTTTTTGCATCATATGGTGACCGCCGACGTGATTTCAACATGGCATCACTTGGAGCTACAATGGAGACTTGGTTGTGGAAGGCCGTTATAATGACCTGAAGGAACACAGTAAATATATAAGAGCCGTCTGAGGTTGAACCAAACACGAGTTCTACAAGTAAGGACGAGTCCACCTCTTTATTTAGACCAATATATGTCATCAATCATTAACCGGAAAAAGACATTTGTTCTAATATATTTTCGTGTCTGGTGTCACCTTCCGCTCCATTTTAATGTTTTCACTCGAACTATACAAATAATATATATATATATATATATATATATATATATATAATTTTTACTTTTTAATCATTTGGCCCCAAGCAAGGCGGGAATGCCACTATTACGCAGGGGGGTTACAGAGAGTGAAAGTGAGAGAAAAGACTGTGCATAGTGGGGATTGAGGAAAGTATAAAAGATGACCGGCGTTCAAGACGACTGAAAATGGCGATTGACGTTGCATTTACATCTTCAAAGTCTGTAGTTGTCAGGGATGCAAGTAAACGAAAGGGAGTTCTCCTGTCGGGAAGTGCAAGAAAAAAACATTTGGAGAAGAAGTGACAGTTATATTAGCTATCCAGCAGTAAAAGGGTGGGACTTAGATTCCAATCTAGTAGCACGCTTAAATTCTGTAGTCGGGCAGGGAAAAACCTGGTCAGAGCTGTTGACAATATATATATATATATATATATATATATATATATATATATATATATACAATATATATATATATATATATGAGACAAAAAGAACAGATGTTCAGATCCACTGTTCGTAGCATTTACTTTTAAAAAGTGCTCAAGACAAAGTAGACAAATATTTTATTATTATATTTTTATTATAAGAGATTATAATAAAAATTTTGAAATTACTCAAAAGCTTCATGTTTTAATACAATGATTGTATTTCCTCATTCAAGTATAGGTAATGTAAAAATAAAATATCTATAAGAACACTGGATTTTATATCTTACTGTTTCTTTCTTTATATATATATATATATATATATATATATATATATATATATATATATATATATATATATAATAAAGAACAAAGATATATATATATATATATATATATATATATATATATATATATATATATATATATATATATATATATATATATATATATATATAGAGAGAGAGAGAGAGAGAGAGAGAGAGAGGAACGGTGGAGTAATGGATATGGCTTGGATTGAGGAATCGGAGAGCCGAGTTCGAATTTAGCCATGAGCGTCCTACATTCCTGTAGCGCTGATCTAACTGGCTGTACATTAGGATCTTGGATATCCTGTCATCAGGCATTCTCAAGACATGACCAGTCCATTGTAACTGAGACTGTATGAGAAAAGTCTTGATTCCTCCAATATTACTCCTGTTAAACAGGTCTACATTAGATGTCCTATCTTGAAGGTTAACTCCACAGATTGCACGCAGAAAGATTTTATGGGAAACATTCATCTGGCGTATATGGTACCTGTATGGAGTCCACGATTTTGAGCCGTACAAAACCCGAATTTTCGTATCCAGTCGAATACCCCGCTCACTCCAATAGCGATGGCGATGGCGAAGTTTGCCGAAAGCACTGGTAGCCATATTTCATCATCTAAAGTTCCACTGTAATTGACTTTGCTACCAAGATAGGTGAAAGACTTTACATAGTTCAGGGCTTTGTCTTCAACTTTTAATGGTCTCTCTGGAAATGTCTAGACTGGTGGTTCTTGTTTCTCACCACAAAATTGCTTCGGAGTAGGACAAGGTTGGTGCACTACTTCCGTTTTCTTTATGCGAAGTGTAAGACCAAAGGCTTTACATGCAGCAGAGAAACGATTTATTAGATGTTGGGCCTCCTCAAAGGATGTCGCAACAAGAGCAGCAGCATCAGCAAACAACAAATCACGTATAATTTGCGTACGAAGGTGGGTCTTGGCTTTGAAGCGCTGATGATTGAAGAGACCACCAGTTGTTCGAAACTGAAACTTGACGCCACTCTCTGTGTCTGCGAATGCATATTTCAGCATCTCTGAGAAGAAAAGGGCAATAAGGACAAAAAGGACAGGGTCCATGACATTTGTGACATCAAAGGATTCTGACCTCACACCATCAGGCACGATATTAGCTTTCATTCCTTCATGAAAGGAGATGATGACCATTAGCATGTTTTCAGGGATGCCAAGTTTTCTTTGCCAAAGAGCCTCTCGATTCACAATGTCAAAGGCCTTCGTCAAGTCCACAAACACCATGTACAACTGGTTTTTCTCGCGAAACTTCTCTGTAACTTGACGAAGAGAAAATATCATGTCAATGGTGCCCCGACCCGACCGAAAACCACATTGCGATTCAGGATAGATGTCGTCAACAAGGTGTATAATGATTTCTGTTTGCCTGCAATTGAAAGTACTGATATCCCCCGATGATTATCACAGACACATCTGGAACCGTTGTTTTTGTAGAGGTGTTTGATAAGGCGTCTTTATAATCCTGTGAGACACAGCCTGCCTTCTATATCTCCACGAAAAGGAGATGTGACTTTTCTACCAACTTTTGGCCACCATGCTTATACACGTCGGGTGGAATAGGATCCGTAGGAGTAGGTGATTTTCCAGATGAGATTTACTTTGTAGAGTTACTTGACCTCTTGATAGGTAGGTTCAAAGGACAACTCCGGAATTTCTGGACTTTGCTCAATTGATGTGATGGCTTCTACATCAGTAACCGAAGTGGTATTTAACTCAGTTTTGAAATGCTCTTTCCAGCGATCAAAAATGTCTGACTTATCCGTCAAGAGATTTTCACCATCTACTGTGGAGATTAGAGCAACACCACTTTTCCGAGTACCGAAAACGCTCATGAGGCCAGTATAGAAAGCCTTTAGATCATTTCCATTTGAAGCTTCTTGGAGTTCGGTGGACTTTTCATACCACCAACGCTCTTTCATTGCTCTGAGAGCTCGTTGAACCTGACTTTTGCACTTCTTGTGAGTGATCTTCTTATCGGACGAGTTATTGTCCTTAATCCATGCTTTATGAGAAGAGTGCAATTGATCCATAAGCTGCTGAACTTCTTTGTTATTGTCATCAAACTAGTCTTGATGTTTACGATATATATATATATATATATATATATATATATATATATATATATATATATATATACCACATGTCTCATTTTAGTCATCAATAGATTTTTAATTATGAATTTTATATTCATTAGATTTTTATGGCATGGGGTGGTTTTGTAGCCACCCCCCCCTTGAGAGGTATTGTGGTGTATGGAGGATTGATTGGCGACGGACGAGTTTTTTCTGGTGAATGTGGAAATTGTAATGAGACGTGAATCGGGTTAGGTAGGTATAAGTGTCGACCAGCCTCAACCCCTCCCCTTTTAGGCCTTTGCCGTAATTGTATTTAATATATATATATATATATATATATATATATATATATATATATATATATATATATATATGGTTTGGCAAGCTATTCTTCTGCATAAGTTCAGGGCTATGGTATCACAGAAGGATTGTTAGATTTAATCCTATCATTCCTATCAAACTATGAAATAATGTTCGCCCTGAACAGGCTCGCTTCCAGATCCTTTCACACGAACGCACTATCCTGGGTCTACGTTGTTTTTGATGTCCATTAATGAACTTCTTGATGCCATCAGTTCCCAAGTAGGCATTTGTGCAGATTACACTACCATTTACCCCTGTTTCAATAGCTAATTCGTCAAATCTGACAAACTTGGCCGTTGCTCTAGAAAAGGACCTTACGTCAGTAGTTAACTAGAGCAGAAAATGGTTTGTAAATTATAATGCTTCCAAAACAAACTGCTGTCATTTAACCAACATAAAGAATGTTCCTTGTCGCCATCACCACATCAACATGGCTGATGCTCGACTCGTGGAAAGCGTCTCACTGCGCCATCTTGGCCTAATATGGCCTCCTTCTGTCTTTTTTTCTATATATATATATATATATATATATATATATATATATATATATATATATATATTTCCATAAACGTTATTTTTGTGCATATGCATTTGAGTGGACATCCCTGTTTATTTATTAATAGTGAAAACCTCATCGAAAAATGTACCATACGGCAGGAATTGAAACTGAAACCCCTTTTCTTCTGAGTAACCACCTTAGCTAGGAGTGATGTTATCGTTTCGTCTATAGGTGTCCTTACAGACTGGTGAAACTCAGTTTTTGCACCCGAAAATCTAACAAAGTGCATGCATATGTACATAATGATTGGCGACTACTTTGTGTGTATTTTAAGAGCACGCTTCCTCAAATGCATATAAATAAAATAAATTTTAATAAATATATAAAATAATTCAAACAGTAAAACAACACACATACACATCACACCTTGCCTTCGTTGGATCTGAATACGGTTTTTGTAATTATCTTATAGTCTTGTTTTTATTAACTTTTTATTCGTTATTGATTTTTTTATTATTTGTTGTTGATTATTATTATTGCATATTTGTGTTTATGTGTGCATCTGTAGTTTGTTAATTTGCTTATTGTTTATTTATTTAGATTTTTGAGTATTTTATTTATTTCAATTTTTTCTTTGGGGTTGGTTATCTTTAATTTAAGCTATTGAATAAGGTACGTTATATTATCTACGTAGTTTATATTGCATATATTTGCATGATGGTATATTACAAGGTATTCGATTTTAGTTTTCGATTTTTAAGTAATGTAGTAAAAAATTGTATTCGTGTCTGCATTTTGAGTTTTCATGGTTAAATTAGTAGTTTGTGTTGATCTGGGAACGTAATTATAGACATTTTCTCTCCCAGACAGTTTGTATTTTTTGGATTTATTATTGTATGCTGGTGTTCGTTTCCTTAATTTCTGTTTTTTTTTTTTTTAGTAATTTGGTTTTAATTTCCCATATATATTTAGAAAAGGTTGTGCTTTTCGAATATTTACTATGTGTAGGATGTTTCGCAAGCGTATTTTCACTGTTTCCAAGGTTTTGCTGTTACTCCTATGTATATTTTTTCTTATCTACTGATTTTACAGTGGATTGGTATATTATATTGTTTTACAAAAAAAATTCTGTGTAAGGGTTATTAGTTCTTTGCTTTGCAATTACAAGTGGGTTTGATTTGTTGGGAGCTCGTTGGTTATTTTTCTGTTGAATTTGTTATTATTTTGTGGCATGTTCTCAGTGTAACTGTAGCTGATTTTTACTATTTCTGTTGAATATCTTGTGGAGAGAGAGTGTTTGCGTATGTTTAATGCATATTTTTCCCACGTTTGTTTTTACGTTTTTGTTGCAGAGTGGGTTGAACCATAAAATCTTTCTTTCCCGGCTGGCTTTTTTTTTTGTTCTTTGTGGTGTGTATGTGAGTTTTGCCAGAATTTCACTAATTGTTAGAGCTTTTTCATAATCTTTTTATTTTTATTTTTTTTTGGCTTCGTTGAGGATGATTTCATTAGAAAAACTGTCAGATAACTTCCGGTTAATTGTTTGTGAATTCTGGTTGATTACTTACTTAGTGGTTGGAAAATATGTGAATATAAAGTGGTTTGTCGTTGGATTTTCAATGTAGTTAATATATACCTAATCTGAGGCCGAGTGCATCGTCTAGGAAATCTAAATTTTTAGGTTTGTTTTTATGTCTATGCTGAATCACCAATCTTTTGAAAGTTTTTACGCTTTTTGTCTTAAGATTATTAGACCATAGTCACAGTGGAGGAAGATATTGATCAACCCTGTAATTACATTTTCTCTATTCAGTGGGTGTGGATACTGAGCATGCTGATATAAGGTGATCAAGTTTTAATATATCGTTCACAGAACCGGCATTTTAGGTTCGTACTATTGTGCAATATATTAACTTGGTCATTGCCTGTGAACTGGTTCAGGTGCTGTGCA